ATTTCTTGGCATTAAAAGTAACAACGTATCATCTTCTTTTGGTCATTCTTTTGAATATATCTTTCTTTGTCTGAGGAGTTTGTACAACGTGTAACACTCACCTCCAGTGACAACATAACTGACCGTCAGAGGGTCGTGTTTTTGGCCCATCCCACTCAGGTCTCTGACACATATCGTCATGGATTTTACGCCAACTTCCTGAAAGAGAACGGAAGTCTTGAAGACAAGGTAATTTTGCACTGCATACGTTTCCTCTAGACTTTAGAATTGATCTTCCATTATAAATTTGGAAAAGGTGTGCCGAAAATGATCTAATAGACGCCCTCTCTCAAATAAACGTCGCTAGTTTAATTAACGCCCCTCCTGCGCTTTCAAGTTTGTATTAAACGCCCCCAAACTATCAGACGCCACCCCCCCTCCCACCACTTCCCAAAATTATTTCTTCAAAATACTGGGAAACAGTGCAAAAGCGCTCATTCTATTTATTCAGTTTCTTACTTCATTTACCTTTTTCGTTTGCTTTTTTCCTCGCTTTATTTATTCCGTTTCGTGCATCATTTTGATGTAAACAGCTTTAGCTTTCTGCTATTTACAAACTAAGGTGATGTATTTGCCGAAAGCATATTAGGTTCGTGTAGTTTTTATAGTTGTGAGAATAAACGTCTCTCTCTTTTTAAACGCCTCCTTTCTATTAATCGCCCAGCTGCTTGGGCTCCTAAAACTGATTAAGACTAATTCTTTGGGGGTCTATTACATCATTTACGTTACAGGCTACTATACCTTCACCCACGCGATGACAATATTGTTCTTTGGAATGACGTTCGTTTTACGGTCGTAATTGTGATGAACAGAAACCAGGACGACAGGTGACGCGTAGAAGGTGGTGTTGAAAGGAACAGTCTGTAATAACAGTGAGTGAAATATGAACACTTCATGTGGTGCTAATTCCTTTTTGTGTTGAAACTGCCCGAACAGAAGAAATATGATTCAGACAGTACACTAAAAATTTAGAAGATCTGTTTCAGCCCCAAAATGCTAACTCTGCCCTGCAGGCCAAAGTCTGATTCCGCCTCTCCTGGAGCCATTTGAGCACAATTTAAGCCTATTCCAACCCACACTGTGACGTATTTCAGCCACGTAGGGTCCAAATAATCCCTGGGTAATTGGACTGTGTTGATTAAGGGAGCCAAATTAGACCCATAAAATAGGACTGTATTTTGCTCACCGAAACGGCCTCATTTTTAAGGCAAAAACATTTCTTTCTGTCATTTCTGATTTACAGTGTAAACCTTGCACAAAGTT